AGGTGTGCCGCGAAATTTGTCTTCTTTGAAAAATGTGCCACGAGAGTAAAAAGATTGAGAAACACCGAACTACAGTACAGTATTTCAAATAACTTCAACGCTTAGCATCGAGTAATACGATGGATCTCTCTAGATCTTTCGATAATATATCGGCAATCAACTTTATCTCCGGAAATTTTATTATCGGAACAGTTCTAATAAGTTAGATACGATTTACATAAATAGAAGCGGACGAAATCGAGGGGAACCTCGGGATCGACCGTCCATAAGCGATCGATGTCGAGTGGCGGAGGATATCCGGTAGATTCACCCCCGGGGTACATAAAATTAATTTCATAGAGATATATTATACGTTCCCCGTGAAACTTCTGAATTTCTTCTTTTATTTCTCGTCGATTCCATTCGAATTTTAATTTTCTTCTACGTTAAAAAATAGCCCGAGAGGAAGGATCCGAAAGAAAGTTCGGTCTTTCCAGCGCAAACGAGCCGACATCCAACGAACTGAGTCTTAACTACTTTCGATAATACCGATAGCGACGGAAGACTTGCCTGCCTTGTTGGTAATAATATAAATTATTGAAAAAAAATTAAAGTTTGCAAGCATCTTTGTTGATTTTTAATTAATCGAATTAAATATTTCGATTTTGATCCACCTTTGGAAACACGTTGGCAGGGGATTAAAAAAGAACGCCATTCCGAAATGTTGGACACGCGTTTTTCTCGGTAACTAAAAGCGAGCAGCTGGTAAATACCATTGTAATCTAAACTGTAAATTGATGCGTGTATCGCAAACTCTCGTCATTTAAGCGCCCGCTTCCAAAGAAATATAGGGCACTCGCGATATTTTGAAGTTCGAAGACCCGGCTCAATTGTATAACGTGCCCCAGAAAGAACGGAGTGACCGGGCGTCCTCTCTATCTGAAGTTGGTGCGGTCTACCCCGTCACTTTCATCGGTCAGGTACAAAACAGCAGGCTTTGAAAATTATCTGTACGTCCCCTTTCGTTCGTTAAGTAAGAATTGTTTTCCTGACTGTTCTTGAGCAAAAACGGCTCGTCAAAAATATTGTAGCCATACCAGCGTGTTTCTGATTTTAATAGCGGAAGAATTGTGGTATATTGGGAGACGATTATCCTTCCGTAAAATTGGTGCTCGTGTTGAAAGAAATGCGGACATAGTGATGCAAATATGGAATCGGTGGATCGAGGAGAAACAAATGAACTGACGTGAAGTATTCTAACATGTACGCCACACCACATAACGAGAGGACAGACGTCTTATCCGCTCAACTATTGCTGATGGTACAGCCACATCACAAACCATAGCTCGAGAACAGCGGCGCCCGCAGACTATAAAAAAGAGAATCGTACGTATATTATACAAAATATACAGTGTATATATGTTTGTATCCCTTGATTAACGCAGTTAATCCCTCGATGCTACCGCGTATATAAAAATCGCGTAAATCAAATGCAGTGGTACTGTACATCGGTACTCGACCGAACAATCACCACCCGCTAGAACAAATTTTCGGTTAATAGCAAGTATTTGTATTTTGTCATCAGTAAAAAAGTTTTGGATAAAAAAGAGTGACTAATTTAAAAGTAAAATGAAACTTCGGAGCTGCTTTGGGGATTAAGAAAAGGGCAACCCGATGGAAAAGGGAGGCACGTGTCCCAATGTAAGGGCGCTCCTGCTCAACAATTTCTCTCTGCACAGACAGTTCGACACCGTTGCAGCATCGGAAAATTTATAAAATTTGTTGCTTCGGCTATCTTGATTGTATTCCACAGGCGTCTACTGCTGCAATGGTATGTAGAACATCACGCGCGGAGAAACGAATGGTCTTTTCAGACACATCTCCCTTCTGTCTGTAGCACCACGATGAGCGCACCTGCATCCGGCGGTACCGGGCGAAAGACAGTAACACCTGCATCATGCATCGCCATGTTAGTCCAGCGCTGGCGTTAGTGTAGTGCCATTGCATTCCAGTACGCACTCTACAATATTAAATGCTCATTGTAACATCTGAGGTTCTGGAGCCTGTTGTCCCTTATCTTCGAGGCATGCTTGGGCCACGTACCAACAGAACAATGCGTGACACGTGACACGCATCGTCCAAAATTCCTCAATCATCATGCTCTTCTTCTTCCTGGGACCGCATCTTTTGCCTACTGAACACATATGGTTCATGATTTCGCAATGATTCGCACACCACAGCGGATGAACTTTGGCATCGTGTCGAAACAGCATGGACTGAAGTACCCAAGGCAACATCCGACGTCTATTTCTCTCTGTGCCAGACCGTTACAACAATTATTACCGCCCATGGTGGCTGCACAAGATACTGATTTATGCAAGTTCCGCAGCTCAAACCGAGGTGAAATCGTAATCACTTCACCCTTGTTCCATAAGTTATATGCACAATACATATGGCTTTGATAGATCTTGTCCTTGTGCTGCAATTTGAAAAAATTGTATACCTATAAATTCCCACTGTCGTCCGTCCTTCCTTAATCTCGAGAAAAAGAGTTTATATATAAAAGTCAAGACCCCAGATATAGAAATCTTAGGAGTAGGAAGCCCGATTAACTATATATGAACTTCCGATGCAAACCGGAAGTTAATTATTTCAGTTCAAAACTTTCCCCTGAAAGGCGTTAGATAAATGACCAGCACGACTCCATTGCTAACGAAAAAGTACGATTTACTGTACAGGGACAAGACTAATTTGAGGGAAAAGCATATATTTTAAAGGAGATAAATTAAAAATTGCAGCACGGCATTGCGACGATGTCGCTGGTTGGTGTTGCATTTTAATGTCTAGCAGCGTATACAATATATACACGGTCAAACATTGTTTAAGTACCGCAAAAATGTAAAAATTTTTTATATAATCACTGCGCGATCTAAAACGAAATATGAAATAGAACTTTTGGGCCCTGCCCAGCATACATTTTACCAGCAAGCTATTTAATGTTTAACAGGTTTGTTCGAGTACTTGGATTGCGTTAAGATACGCGAGTTTGTATATATTTTTCACAATTGGAAATACATTTGTGTATAAGATAATATTCATTTTAAATGTTTTCATAAATTTGTGTAGTAGGGATGTAAGAAATCCTGTAATGTACTGGAATATAAAAATACGGCGGTTTAAATCGGCTAGAAAGAAAAATGAGGGTTTATATTAACAAGATGTAAATCATCCGTGTCCAAAAATGTATATTCTTGAGATCTGTAAAGTTATAGAACCTCTTAGTTTAGTACGATTCTGTATTTAATAATTTTGTTTCTAAAAATAGCTTGTTACAAATTGAAATGTAATAATTTTATAGTTAAATAAATTAGTGTTATGAACCTATATACCATATTTAGAAATTCTATTTCTAAATTTGAAAAACTCGATTAAAAATTGAAAATATTCTATGAAATTCTACGAACGTTACCGTCAAATTCGTGACGACAAAAGCGAATTTCATTGTAAACGACACGCGAATGTATATGCCCAGGTTTATAAATATAAGCTCGTTAGTTCGTTTATATATATATTTTTTAAAAACGCTACATCACGCTTTCTGCGATTTAAATAATACACGCACGAGGCGCCATTTTCACACGAACAGTCTCTTAGGGGTGGATTTACTCTTCGAATCCGCCCAAACTGCTTTGGGATTTAAATAAACGATTTGAATATTAAAAATGTGACGTTTCTAAAACATTACGAATTTTAAATATTCCATGGTTAAACCGGTAATTATAAAATACGGGCGAGTGTAATTTTCCGACCGACAACGTATTTTTCTATCCTAAAGAATATTTTTAACACGTTCTAGAGTTTAAATAGACAACCTAATTTAATATAAATATTTCCTGCTTTCGAATTGCACGAATATCTGATAAAAATTTGCTCTAATTTGATAGATTAATTAATAGACTCGGAGCCTAATTCACACAACAGCCCGGAGTATTGCGTTTTACTTTCCCTTCTTAAATTTTACCCTCGGCTTTTTTGCAAATCTCCACGTTTTGAGACTCCTAACCCCTCTAAAAATTCCGTGGATGCGTGTTGGCGCCTATTTCGTTTAATAACTCGGGATGGGATGAAGATAAAGAAACGAAATTTGGCACGGCAGCTTGTGTATAAGGGACATTGATTCTATTAAATTTCGGTGACGAAAAATCGAGAGGGTGAGGAGATAGAGCGGTGGCGCGTTACATCTCGAGTGGGATCGGACTTAACGATAACGTTATACTTTATTAGTATTTACAATTTTCTCACGAAACTGATTACTACCTTTAATGTTACCTTCGATAATAATTATTAAAAATATAAAAATTTTTTTATAAAAAATTCTCAAAACAGATGGCGCCACACACCATTATATTGTAATTAAAAATATAAAAGCTATTTTCTAAATAAAATCTAATAACAGCCGAGAAAGTTATGCAACTCGTTGCTGGATTTTTTGAACTTATTGCTTGAGTAAAAGGTCTCTTTATTTTCTTCCGCTACAAACTTCGGGATCTTAATTTATAACGTAAGGCGAGTTTAAATGCAGATTCGGATGGTCCTAGGTTACGCTGAAACTGCTTTTTGTAACGAGTATTAAGCCTCCATATTTAAACGTCCCGATTGGTAACAATTATAATACTGTGTTCCGAACAAAGACTTATTTTCTATACGTCGACAGGTAATCGTTCAGCTCCAAACTAAGCAGAATATCTGGATTCTTTATGTTAAAATGTTTCTAGAGTGAAAGCGGAAAGGAGGCTGTTTTTTTACTAAAAATTAAAAAATCGTTTTGTGTACAAAAATTGATAAAATAAATTGATAATTAGTCAGGGTTGATTAGAAAAAGAATCGTTTCCCGACTGTAAATAACGTATCTTTTACGAAAAGTATTTAAATTAGTAGAGTACAATATATATTTTTACTAATTTTTTTTAGTAAAAATTAATATTACGCACTTAAAGCAAAAAAAAATCAGTAAAAACAAATATAAAAAAGGACAAATTTAATTAGATCCTTAATAAGTAACGAAAACAATACAAAGAATTTTTTTAATAGATTACGGAATCTATTTTACATATAATGTAATTGTCATTACGATTCCTCAAACCGACTTAAATGTATACTTTTGAGAAAAAGAATTTGACGGTTGCAAAAAAAAAAAAGAAAAATTAAACGTTAATGTTACCACTAAATACTTATAAGAAATGGATTTTCTAAAATAAAAAATAAAAAGTCAACCTTCTCCAAGGACGAAATGTATCGAAAAGTGCGATATTTGTTTTAATTAACGGAGAGAAAATTCTTTACATTTTTTTCTACTGTAGGAACTACGAATTTAAAAAATGGTTTGGCTTTTACTTGGGGGTTTTGAAGGAAACCTGTAACGGCCTCCCACCGTAAGTAAAACCGTTTAAGGCTTCTATGGCCCAAAGAGCGTCTTCGTAATTGCTCATGGTGACGAAGCCGTAGCCTTTGCTCTGATTGGTGTTGGGATCGCGAATGACATTAGTTTTAAGTACGGTTCCGTAGGAGAGAAACAAATGGTGAAGGTTCCTCTCGTCGACTTCCGCTCCGATGTTGTAAACGAAGAGGATGTATCCGCCGTTTGAGGAAGTGGTACCGGGGTTGGTACCGACGAAGGAATTGGAGATGGGGTTAAAACGATATCGACTCTGGACGTTTCCCGGTCTGAGCGGTCCTCCGCCGAATCCCGCTCCCCGAAACGGCGGTACGGGATATTGGAGGAATGCGGGCGGCACTTTTTTGGAGTTGTCGTCGGCGAATTTGACGGAGAGCGTTTCGGATCCTCCGGAAAGGGTCTCGCCGTCGAATTTGACGATTGCCGCTTCGGCCTGTTCTTTGCGATCGTACAGAATGAAAGCCACGCCCTTGTTGCCGTCGGAAGTGTTATCTTTCAACATCCTGCACTGTATGATTTCTCCACACTGTCCGAACAGTTTCTCTAATTCTTCCTGTTTCATGCTCCTGGGTATGCCTCGAACGTACAGGTTAGCGTGTTTTATCTCGTCGCTTCGGGGTCTGGCGTAAGCCACTTTCAGTTTTTTGTTTTGCAACTGAAATCCGTTGAGCATTTCTATGGCTTTAGCTGCGTCGGCTTCGTTTTCGTATTCTACAAAACCGAAACCGTAACTATAACCCGTGGCTTTGTGTCGAACTATCTTAGACGACTTCAGGTGCCCGATATTCATAAACATGGCTGTGAATTCGCCGTCCGTTAATGTTTGGGGCAAGTAGTTGACGATAAGATTTCTTTTATTTTCCGATTTACATAACGAATCGTTTATTCTATTGTCTTCTTCGTCCATCGTTAATGAAAAATTAATAAAATTATTCTCTTCTGGGAAACGAGCTCTTGTTTTGGGGGGTTTTTTTAAATTATTTTTAAAAAAACGAATTTTCTGAAAAAAAATAAAAATAAAAAAATAAAGTGACTTTTACAAAATAAAATATTAAAATTTTAACATTTAAATAAAAAATTAATAAAATAAATAACTTTGTAAAAACGTCCGATCCGTCCGAAGGTTTCGACGGAACCAAAAGACTCTTTAAAATGGATTGGTGCAAATTATATTGTTTCTTTAGGAAAAGAAATTATTCAGAAAAAAGACGGTTAAATCTCGGAAAAAGTTTATGAACATTGCGATACGGTTTGTTCCAATGTCGGCATATTTTAATGAGCAAATACATCTTTATTCGGGACGACATTTAAAGTTTATAACTGAGTCAGTAAAAACAATTATGTCTAAAACAATTCGCAGATAAGTCGAGACTAGTGACTTTTTCATCGACTTATACAAATATTAGCATATAAATTATTATAAAATAAAGTTGAAAATAAACTAAAATTTCTCTACAACAATGATCCCATACAGATTTGTATACTGTTTTTATGACAATATTGAGAAGCAATATCAAATTAAAATATATTTATTCTTATTTTTATTACACATTTCATAAATACACAAATTATTTTCATTATACTAATTAATTTTCTTAAATGTTTATTACAACAAACACAATGTTTTATAAAATACAATTATAAAAATATTTCTTCTTTAGATTCTAAATTATAAGTATGAAATACAATTTAAATCTAATAATTGTAGAAACGTTATTATTATTATTGAAAAAAACAACGTTTATTTAATGCAATACTACAAATATTGAAAAAGGAAAAAGTTTATGAAATGGCAGAGCAATTTCATTTAATAAATAAATAAATTTAATCTGTTCAATGAAAAACGGATCTATTAACTATAAAAAAATGAATTTTTAAACAGAAAATTGAAAAACAATTTAAATTTTATTTTCAACTCTTAAACAGAGGTTAACAAACAGCTGGTGGCATGATTTTTCTCTCTTATTAATATAAAGCTAATCCAGAAACCATTGTGTTGTCTTATCTATAAATAATTGTTAACTATTTACTAAATACAGTTTATCATATTAAAACATCAGGTCATTGACAATTTTAAATCTCAGATTCTCTAAGATTTATGCATTAACAAACATAAGACTGAAGGAAAACAATTTTAAAATGCATATGCTTCAGAAATGTGACAAATTCCTTACTATATCGATCCTAAATTAAGAATGACTGCTGTAAATGCTGATACAAAATCAATAAAATTTCAAAAACTTGAAAAATGTCTAGTATATTATTTTTAAAATGTTATTTTTTAAGTGTTTATAATGAGTATTCAATAAAATATAATACCAGATTGCTGGACATTTTGGATTATTAAATGCTAGATTAACAAATTTCTATTGCATTTGTATTATAACTTAATGTCTTGTAAACAAATGAAATGAACAAAAAAAAAAAAACAAAACAAAAGTAATAAATTTATTTATAGGCAAACCAATTTATAATTAATTAATGAAAATGTGATGACACTTCTTTCTAATTGAACAATAATCTGCTTTTTGTATCATCTTGAAGGCTAATAACATAAGTTTAGTAAGTTTCTTCAATTTTTAACAATTAATTGTTAAAATATTACTTTTTTATGTATTTTTTATTCTTTGAACGTTTATCTCAAAAATAGCTATAAATTAGACAATAGATCTCATATAGTAGTAAAGTTTTTGTTTGGCGCATACTTGAGACCTAAAAAATAAAATGTTCCAACCAAACCAAATGATTGCAGTAATTACTCGAGCTATTTTTTGCTGCAATTAATTATTTGAAATTAAGTAATTTGATAGTAGAGGTAGATGTTAGGTGCCATCTCTTATCGAAATTAACAATTATAATAATTTAATATTTATTAAATAATTTAAAACAGTCAGGAAGAAAAGAATTGGCTCAGAGCGAAAGTCAAACCAGCAACCTCTGCTTACTAGTGATGCCACAAATAGTGATTTTTCCGAATACTGAATACTTGGCTATGCACTCGGCCGAAGCGCCGAATGTTCGGCAAAATACGTGTACATTTCGAGGGTGACAGGTTACGACCTGTCTCATTGTGGTGGGTGAAGTAGCGACACTGCAGGACGCATTTGTTTTATTTGAGAGTAGATCGTGTCACGACATGCATTATTTGTTCATTGTTACAAGTATGTTATTTTCTTTTTATACACCCAGTCTGAGAACTTTTGATCACACCTCACATATATAAACATATTATGAGAATGGCTGGATTGGACAAGATAACAACTGGAATTACTATAAAATAGAGGGATGCAAGATCAATAATTTGAAGTATGCTGACACTACTTTACTTGTAAATAATAAGTATTATATGGAAGAGTTTATTAGAAAAGTTAAACAGGAAAGTGGTAATGTTAGTCTAGCATTGCATGTTATAAGGTAACATTACAGTAATGGAACACTCAGTAACATTACAGTTGTTGGAGAGGAAATTAAAGCAGTGGATAGCTTAATTTTCATCATAGAATCCTGAGTAGATGGAAATGGCAATGTAAAAGAGAGATCAAATAAAAATTATTCTTAGGCAGAAAATCAATGTAAAAACTATAGGATCACAGCATATAAAGAAACATCAAAGTTTACATAGGATTGTGAAAACAATTTTTTTTGTACTTTTCTGCCTCTGTCATATACACTCATTGCCATAAGAATTAGTACATCAAAGAAGGAGTTGTCAAAATCAAATGAAACTGTACACGTGTAAGCGAAACAGTAATATAAGTGAGTGATTACAAAATGAAAGCAAAAGGATCATTTATTGCAGGAAAAACAACAAATGGAATGAGGTTCTAGTACTGTTTTGGGCTACCTCTAATGTGAACACACAATGTGATATGGGTGGGCATGGAAGTATACAGGTGTCTTATGATGTCCTGCAGCATCAGTCCACAGTTGCTGCAAGTGGTTCAGTCAAACTTCTAGTCTGTCCAACTTGGCATCCCAGGTGATCCCAGACATGCTTGATGACAAATAAAGGGACCAAGCAGGCCAGAGAAGTGTGGCAATGTGACAGTCAGTCCTGTGACACTCTTGCTGTATGTGGTCAAGTATTGTCCTGTTGGAGAATAGCTCTTGGGAGCCCTGCCATGAGAAGCAATATAAATAATAAATGACTGCAGGATACTGCATGATCACCAACATATTGCTGGGCTGTCATGGTCTCTTGGATCACTTACTAGAGGTGACTGGCTGTCGTATGTGACGGCATCCCAGCTGTGGGGCAGCATGCCACTCCAAATATAGGCAGGATTGAGGCATTCACCACAGGACCTCCAGATAGCCTTTGTCAGTGCCCAAACTGAATCTGGATTCATCACTGTAGACAACCCGGCTCCATTCTTTTGAGGTCCAATCCTGTCACAAGTGACACCACTCCAAACAGAGGCAATGGTGGGTGGCTGTCAATGGCAGCACATATAATGGCCAGTGCAATACCAAATGCTCCTCACTCAGGCACCTCAAATGGTACAGAGACACATGGGTCTGTAATGATGGCATCATCTGTATCCAGATGGCGGACAATGATACAGCTGGATGTGTGAGTGCTTGTCAGGAGACCAGTGTTCCTCTCAGGCTAGTGATCTACTGAGGGCATCCTGAACCTGGATACAATATGTGCAAGCTCTCTTTTGTCCACTGGTCCCAACACCTCATCACAGTGTTGTCAGAATGGCTTAGGTGGCAGGCTATTTGGCAAGGAGACCATCCTGCTTCTCTCAACCTGATAATCCTTCCTCTCAAACTCAGTTAGTTGTTCATATGGTCTTCAATTATGATGTAAAGGCATCTCTAACAATAGACACAACCAACAATCACCTGAATGCTCAGACTAGAATTTGGCTAATTAAATGATTAATTAATATAAAGCAATTTGTCACTATAGGGAGGTGCCATCTCTTGATTAAATTAATAATTACAATTTTAATAATTTATTAAATAATTTAGAACCTTCTGAAATAAAAGAACTGACCCCAGGGTGGGGCTTGAACCCGCAACCGCCACTTGCCATGCAGTGCACTTGCCAGTTGCGCCACCCAGACCCAAGCAAGTCTTCTCTTCCAGAGGTATTTAAATTTGGATATAACCTTACTCTTTTATTTCAGAAAGTTCTAAATTATTTAATAAATTATTAAAATTATAATTATTAATTTAATCAAGAGATGGTACCCAATGCCTCTCTCTAGTGACAAATTGCCTTATATTAATCATTTAATTAGCCAAATTCTAGCATTCAGGCAATTGTTGGTTGTGTCTATATATACTCATTGGGCTATAAGATGAGTATTGTATCTCTAATGATACAGTGTCCCTCTGCATCAGGTAAACTACAGACAGGATGCCTTTGTGAACTTTTTTTATAGGCCAAGGAGGATGCACTTTATCACCATCTGCTAGCATTACCACAATGAGCCATCATGCTAAAATCTAATTGTTTCTATATCTGCTTGAGACTTATCTGCATGCTAAGTTCACAGCAATACAAGACCTCTTTGATGTGCTAACTTTTATGGCACTGAGAATATAATAGAGGAAAAGTATGATCAGTCAAAAAATAAGGGGGTTATTTTTTTTACACTTTTTTTTACCTCCAAGTTTTTACACTTGAAATGTCAAGCAATGCAAACAAATTCAGTTTTTTTTCCATGCACGTACACATGCATGGACACAATTTTGTTTACCCTCTTTGAAGCTTAATAACTCCTGTGGTTTTTGTTTTGTCAAAAATTTCTGAAATTTTGCAGGGAGGTTTGTTTATTAGGGGATTGATGCTATTAAAATTTGGTAGTTAGAGTTTGACAAAGTGTGGAGATATAGAGTGATGTGTAACATCTTAAGCAGAGTCAAACTTAATGATGATTTTCCTTGTTATTAGTATTTACAATTTTTTATAAAACCCATCCCTATTCTCAAAATTAAGCATTATTATAATAATTAAAAATATGAAAACTTTTTAATAATAAAATA